TTTTGCAAATGCTAAGACAAAAGAGGATTGAGTAATTAAATGCAACGCATATGGAATTAGCTAATTTGTCTCTGTCTGTCCCCCATTTTCCTTGTTTTCTCAAGCATGAGTTCATCATGGACCCTCATCTCTCCTCACAATTACTTCCATTTGAAAAAAAGAGAAGTAAAATAATTTATATTTAAAAATAATAACAATAACAATTAGCTTTACATCAAATTTTACGAGTTGTCTTGGTGATGTGTTTTAATCATCATTAATTTCTGTTGATTGAGGGTGCATGGCACGGCCCCATTTAATTAAGAGAATTTTCTGTGCTCCCTGCAGCGCCACAATCGCATTAACTAGATGAAGATCAATTAATTAAGATTCATAATTAGTTGACTTAATGGTTGGTTTGTGTTAGTGGAGGAGATATTAGTGGTTGACTGCATGCAAACACGACAACAATAAATTTAATAAATTTCTGCTTTTAACAATAATTTCTATGAGTGGATACGAAATACAGTTTTCAAAGACAGGGCTGATCTGTTCTGGGCGGAGGATTTGGTATGAGCAATAAAAGCAGCAATTGAATTGGGAAAGAGGGAACTGCAAGTCCACGATGTAGGTAAGACAGTTCAATTCCTTCATCTATGGTATCTATCTCTAATTTATTAATGTTGCCCTCTCAATCTGCTTCTTTGACTTCATTCAATGTCATCTATATGGTCCTCAGCTCTGAAGTGAATTCTTGCTGTTATAGTTGTCAACTTGACAGATCTCTCAACCCTGAAGATAAATTCCTAGAACGACATTTGGTGCTCTAGTGCGCAAGTCACAGTCTAAAATTACTCAAAGTAAATTTTACGCACGAGGAGTTTATACTTCGAGTGATTAAGAATATTTATCTCTTGCTTTTTTCGGTGTGCAATATTAATGAAGTGATTTTTACACAAAGAAAAAGAGTATTTACCATGAGACTTATTTCACAATGACCTTATGTTATGAATTCTAAAAAATTTACAGAATTTAATTAAAGTTAATTGTTAAAAAAAATAGAACTAGATGGTAATTTCAACCCTCTTTTGATTGGGTACTGAACTCATTTGAATTTTGAGCTGTCGACCTAGTTTTCCGTGGTTTGTAAGAACACAGTACTTGCCACAGTGCCACTGCATAAAACGTTAAGATGTGTTTATTGGACTTTTACGAAATTCCTAATTCTTGCTGTTATAATTGTCAACTTGACAGATCTCTCAACCCTGAAGATAAATTCCTAGAACGACATTTGGTGCTCTAGTGCGCAAGTCACAGTCTAAAATTACTCAAAGTAAATTTTACGCACGAGGAGTTTGTACTTCAAGTGATTAAGAATATTTATCTCTTGCTTTTTTCGGTGTGCAATATTAATGAAGTGATTTTTACACAAAGAAAAAGAGTATTTACCATGAGACTTATTTCACAATGACCTTATGTTATGAATTCTAAAAAATTTACAGAATTTAATTAAAGTTAATTGTTAAAAAAAATAGAACTAGATGGTAATTTCAACCCTCTTTTGATTGGGTACTGAACTCATTTGAATTTTGAGCTGTCGACCTAGTTTTCCGTGGTTTGTAAGAACACAGTACTTGCCACAGTGCCACTGCATAAAACGTTAAGATGTGTTTATTGGACTTTTACGAAATTCCTAATTCTTGCTGTTATAATTGTCAACTTGACAGATCTCTCAACCCTGAAGATAAATTCCTAATTGGTAAGAACACAGCATAAAACGTTAAGATGCCAGTGCTTTCCAGTGCCACTACATAAAGATGTCTTTATTGGTCTTTTACGAAATTTCTATATATATGCTCAGCTTTATGTTTCTTCTTCTTTTAAAACAAGCAAAGGAGCCATGTAACACATGTTTCATACACTTTTCTCTCTAATTATGTGATGATCTAGATAGAAAGAAAAAAAATATGAAACATGGTAATCACTTGGAAGTTTTAGCGATCATAATCAAGAGGTTTGTGTCGTAATTTCTAAGTGTCCATGTCATATTTTTTTCATGAAAAACTAAAAAAAAGCATTGCCTTCATTGTGTGTTCATCTCAAATATTGATAACGGCTAATAAGCATGTACAGTTTAAAAGTGTATAAATCTATTGAAATTATTATATCATCCTTAATCTTTTTTTTCTCTGGTTGATAAATATCATCCTTAATCTTAAAACAATTAATTAAAGTACTAAAAACATACTTGACATAGAAATCTTAGAGGCATTAATTATTTTTCGTAATCTTCTTGTTGTCCTCTTACAAGAAAAAAGAAAAATGATCTTGTTGTCAAATGAATAAGAAAACGAAATAAATAAATAAATAAATAGAGCAGTAGGTTTTAGACCAGTCAAACAAGAATTTGTGATTGCATTGAAATCACGTGCAACCAATGATAGGATATCAGAACCCAGTTACTATTTAACCTAGCATCAATGCAAATGATGGAGACACGAGGGTTGATGCATGTCGTAAAAAGCAAAAGGGTCCAGACGTGAGTGACTCTGCCTTCCATCTCCATAACATTTGAAAAATCCAATCTACGCAGCAGAAAACAAAGCTGTAAAGGGGAATGCAAATGTTCTGGCCTTTTGGTTTGTTTTATTTTTACCATAAAGTTGCTGTTAAATTATTCTAGCAGAAAGTCTACATACTATATTATATTATCAGTGGAGATTAGAACGATTTTATCCAATGACAATAATGTTCTTCACTTCGTTGAACGAGATTTAACTTTAAAGTTTTAAGGAATAATATAAGCATTTTATCTCGGATTTTTATCACAAAATATCCCAAGTTTACGAAAGTATGAGCTATATAGCGCTTATCGTTTTACGATTTAGAATCAAATTATTTGAGAACGGGCGTGGGGTTGAACTTGATTGATACACAAAATGCATGTTAGAATGTTGTGAATAGCTAGTAAAAGAAAAAAATACGCAACTTGTTGGATGTTTTCCAAGGATATGCCGACATATATAAGGTTTGGTAGGGTCACAAAACTGAGAATTGAGAAAAGGGTTGTTCCTGCTTTAATAATGCAATTGCCTCACGGGCCCTTATTCTTCATAATTGTTGAACCAATCTTTGGATATATATGCACCGCTGGTTTTGCCCTATCAGTCGGGGAGTCAAAAATTCAAGATTTCAAGTACATGCATGATGCATGGTAATGGCATCCTATCTCATTATGTTCTTTATGCAATCCACCAACCAACAAAACAAGAACATCGCACTTTCCACTAACGTTCTTTTGTCTTCTTTGATCAATTTTGCTTGAAAGGGCGTGGATTTGTATCCCATTAAACTTTAGCGGTGGTTAGTCTTCCATATTACTTGATTATCCGGAAAGTTTAATTTTGCTCCCCGCCTTTAACCACGACGCGTGATTATAATTCAACTCATCCATCTCACGTGTTACACGTATTAATTATGGTTAAGTTTTTGTGGTAAATACAATCTCATATGTTAATCATGGTTAAGCATGTTGAATGACTTATAAGTACTTTAATTAAGAAGAAGTAGTTGGTTCAGAGTTGAAAAAGGCAGTCCCAAATTTGGATCCTCTTGAAAATCAGAAAATCTGGCATTGACAAGCAGCAGTAATTGGGACCGGCCCTGCCCAACAGCCAGGCCTGGGTCTATTGGCCTATAATATTTTTTTTATTTTTTTGTAGTTGACATGGGTTCATATCTATCATATCATGTTAAGAGTTGGGTACGCACTGATTGCACCTTGTCTATGCATTGCTTTTTTCTTTTTTAAATGAAAAAGAAAAAAAAAGGTTTCGTTTAATTTTATTCAAGCATCTCTGTCTCTCTCTGTATTTTGAAATCAGTGTTTGATTGTTCATCTGAGTTTATTGTTTTATAATATTCAAGTCCAAGATCAGACCCACAGCAGAAAAACCCTAGTTCAAGACCCGTCCGGAAAAGTAACAAGTACCTTATCAGGCCAGCCCTTTCGGATCTTGGCTCCCTTCAACATGACCCAGTTCAGCTATTTTGTGGGCCGCATTTACTAACAAGAAAAAACTGGACCTATGTAGACGGGCTTAAATCTTTTTAATGGGCCAGGGTCTAAACAAAACAAAAGAACAAGGAACCAATGCTCGGTTGGTTTTATTTTTGACAAAGTTAGGAAGGAGAGAGGGGCAACTCACACACACGGATATCATGGGAATTTGAACTCAGAAAGCACACCAAATGACTGTGCCAATCCAACTAACAGCCAATTGGTGTGGGTTTTAATGTACTATTCATTGTTTGGTTTTAAGGAGTGTTACTTTGAGAAATAAATAAATAAATATAGAACCCACACGACAATATTCATTAATTGACATGGTATGATTATATCAGCTGTTGCATAAGTACGTTGGTCAGTTAATGTGGTCATTTTTGTGTTTCGAAATAGCATTACTGATAGGGATAGACCCATGATTTCAAAATTGGGTGGGCTAAATTTACTTTATGTACAAAGGTACTAAGTAGACAGAAAACTCAACAATACCATGTAATTTCATTGATTAAAAAAAAAAACCTATCTATTTAATAAGAAAGAACAATAAAATCAATTACAAATCCTATTTGATAAATCGAAACTGATAAGCCCCAATTGCAAACCCCTAATTTATAATTCATAAGTTTCAATTGCAAATCCTAATTGATACTTCATAAACTCCAAAAAA